GGAATGGTGTCAGATGGCCTGGTTCTTAAGATCACCACAGAAGGACTGTTCATCGACGACGACATCCGAGGCGTGCCTCAACGAGAATGGGATGCCAAAGCATGGACCATGAAGTCCGTCGAAGTATGGTGTTCTCAATACGCGGCATCTCCTCAAGCCCGCCAGAACCCTACGAAATCATCAAACCCCTTCCGCACTGGGTCTACCTTGCCTCCCACGCCCGAAGAGTCGGATGCGTATCTTATGGATATGTTACGGGTGTGCAAGAATCCCTGCCGTATTGGCACCCGCAGTGGTAACGACGATGATACTCTGAACTTCGCGAAGCGCGGTCACCACATGCTCCGGGCAAGTTTCCGCGAGCAAGATGGCAAGAACTACGTCTTTGTTCTTGACGAAAGTGAAGGGTGGAAGGTTGCTATTGGTCTGCAGCGTCTTAGACGGGGAACGCAGATCAGGTCGTTGGGTGTACTCAATATGACTGTTACTGATTGTCAGTCGGTCATGGAGAACTTGGGATATGCCTGAGTTGGACTACGTTGAGATGCTTTCTGCTTTTTGTTTGATATTATCCCTATTTCAATCTGTCTATGTTCCAATTATTTATGCCGTTTTATGCCTGTTTCTTTACTTCAGCACATTCGTTTCCGATACCAGAGATTCCCCCTGATGTTGATATGATTATTTATTCGGATATGGCTCACACCAATGAATCCCACAATTATTATCTTACACTCTCTACTGTACATAATTATACTCATTCATAATTTACTACACCACCATTTCTGCCTGACTGCCTGATGACGTAAATCATCACCAACACGTCGCCCAAAACAACCCAACTCCAAATATTCTCACCAGCCATCCTCATGATTTGCACAGCCACCAGCCGGAGGGATAATGCATCTTCTTGTAAGTTAGCCCCCTTGCATTCGATTCGCGTTCCTGCCCTGTTCCGGAAATCAATGCCAACTGAACCTGAACCTTGGTACGGGCCATGGGCTAACGGTTCGCGGGAAGTTACGAGTTGTACCATAGATGAACATGACCCGCTATGGTTGCGAATCGAAGCTATTTCAACAGAGATAAGTGCAAAGACGAATACAGTGCCGTTTCAGAGACAGGGTCCTCGAACGAATGAATTTGATCACAAGTTCTCGGTTTTTGAACCGGTGCCGGAACCGCATGGAGTGTTGCCTGGGATCGAAGAAGTGCTTTTCGCGGCGTTCGAGGGATCGAAAACGGAAGAGGTAGAAGGGCCACAGGATGAGGGAGATATACCCGGCATTGGAGAAGGACAATGTCAACAAGAGGACTCGCGGAAAGTACGTTTCTACAATCCCACAGAAGCCATTGCTATACTAACGGGCAGTTTTTCTGTTTGCAAAAGGTCTCTAAGGATGCTCCAATTGAGAACGGGACGGCAATAGATGATACCCGCGATTCGAGGAATCTCAATGACGCCCCCGGAGATGCCCACACCGAGAACGACCCGGAACGACATGATGACGAAACGAATGTCCCGAATGCAGCGGATAAGGACGGAGAGGTATCGAGTGAAACCGCACGAGATAATGAGGATAAATCAGATACCAGCGACGATACGCACGCCATCGCGGCTCCTGAACAGCAGACCAAGTCCATGGAGTTTTTACCGCAGAAGCGAGAAATCATCGTCGGCGCAACAAATGCTCCGATTGAAGCGGACAATGAGAAAGAGGCATCGAATGAAGCTGCACGAGACAACGAGAAAGACTTCGATACTAATGACGATGCGCCCGCTATCGCGGCTCCGAAACAGCAAACCGAGCCCACGGAGGTTTCACCCCAGAAGCGAGAAATCATCGTCGATAACGGCCATAAAGCTATAACGGGCAGATATCCATTATTCGAACTACTTTCTTTATCGACGACTTCCGGTGCTATTAGCGTGGCTGTTGTACCGCAGCCGGCTTACCCTATGAACCCCGATGAACCGGCTAGATTGCGGATTCGGTCACAGTCGGGGAGTATCTCCGTCTCTTTTACTGCACCAGCAGTTGCATCTGTACCAGAGTTGGAAAGGCAGATGGTTGAATGTGCAGAATATGGAAACGGGAAATATCAAAACCCGCATACTCTTCCCCTTCGTCCGTACGAGATCGAAATCGAGACGGATAGTGGCACCATCTCCGGACGCTTCATCGTCTCTACATCTGTGCACCTCTCCACCAAAAGCGGCAGTATCAATGCAAACCTCATCCCGATTGCGTCCGACCTAGAGCAAAGCGTGTCCATCCTCACTCAGACAACATCCGGAAGTCAACAGATCCACCTTACAAATCCCGTCTACCTGTACAGCTCCCAACGAGACGGATCAAGGTCGAGTGCAACACGAGCGCCCGCAGCTCATTTTAGTCATGGTGGAGGCAGTATGCAGATTAGGTATCCGTCTGATTGGACCGGGATTGTGCGTGCACCGCCAGGGTCTGGGAGTACTAGCCTGGTTGGACAGGGAATGAATGTTGTTCGGAGAGAAGATGGGTCTGTGGAGGGGTGTATAAACGGGAATGGGAGAGGAGATTGGTGGGGAGCATCGGGTATGGATGTTTCTCTGGGGTCAAGGGGGGCTGCGATGTTTCTTGTTGGGTGAGCTCAAATGGCCTGTTTACTCCAGAAAAGAATAATTTGAACAGTATATAATTCATCAGGTCACTACAACAAGAAATCTACACCAGCCAAAACAGACAAAAATCTCACCCCCAATATTTTTCAGCCATATCCAGGAATTCATCTTCCGTGATAACACACCCCTTCTCCCAATGCTTAATTCACATCAGCATCCCTCCTCAAAACCTTCGAGAAAGGCACTGTCATCGACCCAGACACCGACGCCCCATTATTGCTGTACGAGACCGTAACCTCCTGAGCCAACGACACTACATCCGTCTCATCTCGATCCCACTGCCGCACAGTCACAGTCGGCGTATTCATACTGTAAGCCAGCGTGACAGCAACGTTAACAGAAGACCCCTTAGCAGTAAGCCAACGTTCCGCGCTGAAATCGATAATTCTTGGGATTCCGCGAGACCAATCGCCAACACCAGCGTAGGCGTATTACCCGGACCACAAGATACACCCGGACGCTTAGAAAGACCCCCCATCATCAAAACAGCAGGCCGTAGCCCCTAGCACCCCATTTATTGAGGACTGCATTGTTGGTGTTTGGGTTGCTATTTTGTTGTGAAGAGGATGCTTTGAGGGACTAGTGGTAATGGTTGTAGTGAAAGCGTGGCTGTAGTAGGATATAAGCTTAAGCGTCATAGATGTCTGGAATAAATCACCAGGTTACAAAAGACGTCAAAATGTGTCCTGCATAGTTCTAGAAGCAAGCTAATCTCACTGCAAGCAATATCAAAGCAAAATGTTGCCCTAAATAGTTCCTGCCACTACAGTCTGGCGAGAATACCGTCTGACTTTGCGAGTCGAGAGATGATGACCCCTAGTTATATGCTTGATGGACCGACAACTTCAGGTCATCAATTTGGTCAGCCAGGTAATACAGCATGGTAGTGTGTCGGCAGCCTTACCCAGCTAATGCCATGGTTTTGATCAGCAAATAATAGCACTGCCAGTTCCCTCAACTTACGCCTACGTTTCTCAAAAATCTTCGGTCGACAATGAGAGGATTAAAAACCAACTAATTGCCTATCCAACTGCTAATACAAACAAACACTTCATATAAAACATAGTGCTCGTTTCGCTCGCAAGAATACAGCCTCGCTCATGAGCGTAGTGAGTGAGCGAGAGCAAAAACAAAAACATACAACAGCCGGGATTCGCTGGTGGTCACCCGCCCAACTACTAACCGGCCGGCGTGTGGCTTAACTTCAGTCAATAGTTCAGTGGGTGCCTCCCAGGTGAGTTAGAGGGTGATGCTGCTTTCTGGTCATGCAATCATGGGTGAGCCTGGGTGAGTGCACCATAGAGAGGGTGAGCCCCAATATCGCGCAGTGCCACGCGATTTCAATCCTTTGAAATCCTTATAATTCACTAGCATGCTACAGCCACTAATCATTGGCTGTCTGCTACAGACCTTATCCTGTCAGCCTCACGTGACGATGCGGGGAGTTAAGGCAGAATCATTGGGTATGCTCAGCGGGATGATCAGTGAGCTAAGCAGGGATTATGACCTGAGCATTAAGGAGGTACGATTTTGGTGTGTGGTGAATGGTTGATTGGTTTATGGCCTATCGGCTGAGCTAACTATATAAACTACCGGGCAGAAAGCGAGGGCGGTCAGACACGTGACCCGATGGGTACTAACATACGACATACCTCACGTGACCTGCAGAAGGTATACAGGTATACCAGTCGGGAGTTATACTGATATCGTGGAGGATATATAAGGACACTCATTCATGTACTTAGTTGAGTTCTTCGCGATTGTCTTCGTCAATAAAGCATTGGTTACCTTTCTAGTTTAAGACTCGTCAGCACTAAAACCAACAACTAAGTATACGTACTTAGTTGGCCTTGTTTCTCTACTTCGTCACCTTTATCGGATTACTTGTTTACGGAGCCTGGCTGGGGCGATATACCAAGCAGCGCATTCTTTACAGAGCCTTACTGGGGCGATATACCACGCGGCGCATTACGACTTAGACCCTAGGGGTCATTATCGATATAACGACGACGACGAAGGACACTCAGGTGAGTGCCCCAACTGAGACTTAACTAACTAGAACCCTAGGTTACGATACGAGAGAAGCCAGGTTGTGACACTGTCCTCTTCCAACTTCAAACAATGAGCTACTTACATAGCCACAATCTGGTTTTTCTTCCTCGCATCAACAGCTGATATAGACAAACAACACCAACATGCCAAACAAGGTCATATGAGCAATGAAGGCAAATGGAGCATTAGCACTGTCACACAAATGCCTATAAAAAACCCTTCATTTGCTAGATAGATTTCCTCTTCTCTTTTTTCCCCAGATTCAATATTCTTGTCAATGGCTACACTAGTTTAGATAGGAATATCATTTCATCAATATCTACTAGTACAAGCCCGTGACACGAATAAAACACATCGATATTTCGTCTACAGAGCCAGATTTTCCAGACATACACATTATACGATCAGAAGAGTAACCCAGTCCATATCCATTATGTCATGTAATGAAAGTAACATATCTTACTTGACTGAAAAGGCCACGTGCACCAGATTGATTCAATCAAGTAACTTATAACTAGTTACTCTGACATATTACATACTCAAACAAAAAATGTTTACAATGACTTTCATTCTCAGCGATATACATATTCAATAGATAACTGCGTCTCATCAAATCCAGGCCCCAATCGCACCAAATACCCTCAATAGGAAAATCCCATCTGCATTGCTGGCCTGAACCCTCAATCGATTGGCCATCCATTGCGGGGGAAGGTCACGGGACCACTCCTCCCCATTCCATCACTGCTATTGGCCAACATTGGAATGCCAAAAGCAAATGAACCACCAACCAATAGGATTTCTTACCTCAAGAAGATCCACCCACTGTTTCCAGCCTGAAAGATAAGCCTTGCCAATAATCTTGGCTGGAGTGCTTAACTAGTGCTTACTTCTACTTCACTTACTTTACTATAACTAGCGTAGTACAGATCTAACTGTACCACACGGCTCGGCCGATGCAGATCAGGGAACCGTAAAAGACCCTACCGAGCAAATGTTTACCAGGATTTTTTGAAAATTACGGTTGAACTGAGGGTTGAGGGATCGGATAACACCGTATAAGAATGTGATTGAGATTTGAAATTGGTAATACGAGGTTAATATGAATATGAGTTTATGTGCTTTTCGTGGCGTGGCTTACTATGGATGGCGCCAACTGTGAGGAATATAGTGTGATGTAGTATTTGATTATTTATTATTAGTACTTTGGATAACTAGAACAAAGCTTCAACTTGCAGGATTAGTCAGGGTTACCTTAATATATACTCTTATCTATTGTCTATGGGATTAAGTATATTAATCATAGAAATAAACCGTATTACAGATCACTTGTGAAATAATGTCACTTTATGTTGTATGGATTGATCTCTGATATGCCGTCAAATATCAAGGATATCAATATTATATGGCTAGAGTAACTCGAGACAAAAATGCACGATTGTACAAGGTGCAATGGCATATTATTCTCAATTGATCCATACTGAGCGTTACCTATTAGAATAGAGATTAAAATCAAAACTACATGAAGCAATTCGGACAAGTTAAAGGTAAAAGCGTATATTGACTTTCAGATAGACATAACAACATCTGACATATTCCTGTATCTAGATACAAAACATTCCTTCATCAAACTGGTATCACCACCCTGCCCGACTCTCAAGGCGCCAGCTGTGCTAAGGTCTGAATCTATTCAGGCTTGACATATTTCTCAGTCCACTCAACATCACGAGCCTCAGGCTTGACATATTTCTCGGTCCATTCGAC